ACACACATGGATGTCTAAAAATATTGCATGTAACAACCAGCTTCGAATAGGGAGGATGTTTCTGCTGAAGAGAAATAGCATAAATATCCTGCAGATGTTTGTTTTTTGTTGGTTCCCCCCCCTCAAATAAACACTCAGGCTCAGGATATCACAGGGAATTGGTTTAAGTAGCCAAGAAATAGGCTTTTTCTCTCTGCCTTGTTGGTTTTTATTTTTTAAAGGACTGATGTTTTGGAAAATCTGCTTCCATGGCTTTAGGTGGAGAATTTGTCTTAATTCTTGTGTCATAAGTGAGATGGAGCAAAAAATGTTTGTGGGTTTTTTGTGTGGTTTTTTTTTTTCCCCAGCTATATAAAACCTTTCTGAACATTTTAAACTGCTGTATAGAATTACAATCTTACCCTGTGCTTTAATTTCCACATATGGAGATTCTGAGAACTGTGCATTTGTCTTTCTTTTTCATTGAAGATCTGGGTAAATCAGGCTCTTGCTGAAATGCCGCTGCTTATAAGGTAGGAGGGCTGCAGAAATGGAGTTGATACCAAAATATTACATTGGACAGTGTTTGTCCTCTTTTTCATTCTTCTCCATGTTTGAGTTTTTATTGCTTACTTATGCACAGAGCATACAGGTGACTTTGGTTTAAAAAAAAAAAAGAGTCCAGCATCCCAGTATCTCAGTATGGTTTTGCATTATGTTTCTCCCCTAATTTCCCATTGGGAATGAGATGATGAGATACAATGGTACTTGATGAATTTTATGCTGCTGCTTCTTTTACTGGATAATAGCTTAAATATTTGCAGGCTTTTAAAAATGACTGCTAAAAAGACCAACTTAGGGGCACGCTGCACAAACATAACGAAATTGTTTATTTGTGCAGACAATGCAAAATCAATGAGAATAAGCTGAAAACATAGATGTGTTCATACATATCTCAGACTGCTCATGCCACCTCTTAACTGAGCCAGACAGCTGCGCTCATCTCATGATGGATTGGTCCAACTACATAGAAAATCAATTATATTGTTCAGATTAGCAAGGCATACTGAATTAAAGATGAAAACGTATCTGCAAGGGGCTCTCGGGTGCTGGGTCTCTGACGAGCTCTCCCTGAGAGCTGAGTCGTCGAACGCAGGTCCCTTCCCAGAGCCCCAGGAAATAGCCCTCTGAGCTGATGTGCTGCGGGGAAATAAATCACACCAGTGTCATCGAGGGAGTTAAAAACGAGTCCTTTTCTGCTTCGGCTCCAGGAGCTCAGGGTCTCTGGTTGCTGAGCTGGAGACACTTTTCCATGGCCAAAATCCAGTATATGTCCTGTGATGCTATGGTGGTGAAGTCCTCTTTTTGAAGCTCCCCAGCTCTTCTCCAGGCAAGAGGAGAGGACCAGACCGTTGATACCTGTGTTGCAGCGTGTGGCATTGCTGTACCGTAGTCACGTCTCACCTCTGTCACTGCGCTGGGACAATATGGGGCTGATGGCAGATGACTGATACTCCAAAGTTTGTGAGGTGGTCTTGCGGCTGCGATAGCCTCTGAAGTTTTTGGTTCTGCCCCCTGTGTGAAAGAGGCTTGAAAAATGTGAGTACTGTTGTATATAGGAGCCCTGTCTGCATGGGGGAGCAGCTCCACGTGAGGAGAGTTGTCTCCTGGAGATGACCTCTCTGGTGGGCGACATTCCTGATGCAGGATGGGCTTCTGTTGCTCTGTGGTAGTAATTGGGAGTGATTAGCTTCTGATTGTGTTTGTAAGTATGGAGTAAGCCAAGTGAAGTGCTCTCTGCCCCATCAGGAATGGGGTGGGGATACTTGGAGTGAGCTCTTGCACAGCTGTGGAAACCAGGGTGCTGGTTGCTGAAGCCTTGGGTCTGCAAGAGGAGGATAAGGGCTGGTGTTTGGACGGTCCTGGTTAACACCACTTTGTTTTAGGGGTTGGAGCCTGCGAATGCAAAGCTGGTAGTCACCCGGGCAGATTTGCGTTCCTCAACTGGGCTGTGGTGCCACACAGTGAGTACCTGTGTTGTGGAGAAGGCGTCTTAGCAGGGATGTAGCCTTGCTAAGGGGGGGCAGAGGGGTGCAAGCAGCAAATAGAAAGGGCTCGAGAGACACCCCCTTTCCTCCTTGAGCTATAGGCAGCAGCAGACGTTTCACGGCCCTGGACAATGCTGTCATGTCCCACCATACGACAGTGTTCCTGGGGTGACACAGGAGCCCATCGTCACGTGGGGACGTGCGTGGGAGCTGACAGGTTTGTCACAGGAATGGCGTTTCACTGTGGTTTTTTCGCTGAACAACCTGGTGTCTTCTGCAACTTCTTCATTGAGCTTTCTAGTACTCTGGGAAGCAGCTGTGTGATTTGTTCTGAGCTGAGATTCCTGGAGAATCAGGTACTAAATGTTAACTGTGTCTGTATCTGTAAACCAGACTTTTGAGCTATATCCTTATGTTTTCTCATCAAAAAATTGGGGATAATTATATCTTGCCTATCTTCAGGGGTGTCACGAGGTTTAATTACTTTACTTTTAAGGTGCTTTGCAATTACCTTGGATAGCTGAATAGAAACACAGATTATGGTTGGTATTTCTTTTATGTTTTAATCTTCCCGGCAACTTTCCTTTTTCCTCAACACAAGGCTTTGTGGATGTGTTTGCTATAATAGAAACCTTTTTTACTTAACAATAGACAACCAAGGCAATTAAAACAGTCAGAAGTGATTAATGTGATTTCACTGGGTGAAAGCTAAAGCAGCTAGCAATTAAATAATGGCAACCCTTGTGCTATCTCAGAGCAACAGATGGGGAATGATTTAAAAACACTATTGGATCAGACACTTCACAACAGGGGCAGATTGGTAACAGTATGTCAGAGCCAGAAATATGCACCACCTTGAAGGGTGTGCTGATGAAATGATTAATTGATGGTAACATGCCACTTATTTATGACTGTGCGATGGCAGACCTTCAGCTCTTGGGAACAAATGGACCCATGGTCAGATCATAATGGATTTAAGGGCTCCAGGTGGAGTGTTGGTGAGCAGATAAATTGCAGGGAGTGTGCTGGAAGCTGGAGTCGGGATGCTGGAAGCTGGAATTGGGATGCTGCAGCTTTGCTCCCAAAACCCGAAGGATAAAGCACTGGAAGGTGGTACCCTGCTGGGAGCATGGCCCTGGGGCTTGTGCAGCTTTGGGCTGGTGCCTCCTGGAGATGCAGCACCGTGGGGTGAGGTTGTGGTTTGCCTGGGGAGGGCATCCCTGCCGTCTCCATGATGGTGCAGTCTCTGCTCTGCACTCCTGTGTGCACAAGTCACTCCTCACCTGGCACTTCTCTACAAATCCACTTTCACAGCAGTAGGAAAAATGAAAAGGGAAGGGGTTTATTCCAGCTAGATTGGCTCTGCAAATGGTTCTTTTACCAGGATTGCTGTTCTGATGGGTGATGTGATGATACGTGTTTGGTTAGTGCCATAAGTTGCCAGTGCTGGCGGCACAGATGCCGTAGCTCCCTTTTCCCAGACACCAGACAGAGTTGTGCCTGCAGATGCTCCTCTCTGACCTGTTTGCAGAGCTCCTCAGGAGGGGAGTCCCTCCTGGGTTTTGGTCAAAATGAGCTCAATTAGTTGAAACAATAAAAGCTTTGTTAATTTGGCTTCTTACGGCTGGCTGGCGACAGAAGAGGCTGTGTCTGGGCAGCCCTCGCTGTGCAAACAGCCGGGTGTTGAAATGGGGGCAGCACTGGGGGGAGGCGGCAGGTTTCTTCTCAGTTATACTGCAATCAGGTATAAATTGCAGTTATTTTTAAGTCTTTATAAGGTTTGGATGTGTGGCATCGCAGGGGCAGGAGGTGATGGGGGTGGCGGTGGTGGCAGTGGAGCTCAGCCCTGTCCTTGTCCCCATCCCTGTGGAGCCAGAAGGATGTGAAAGGAGAAACTGCTGTGTGTTGCCATTTAATCCCTCTGGGAGCCCCTATCTAAGCAAACCACCCTCGGCTTCTGCTCACAGCTCAGAATTTATAGTCTGCGAGAAGCTTGTGCTGTCAGGAAAATGAGTTACTCTGAAGCTGAGAGAATAAATATAAAAGCCACGTCTCCTTCACCAGCTCTCGCCCAGAGAGCGCTGCGACGCCGGTCCTCATCAAAGCCGGCAAGAGGTCCAGAATTAGAACAAATTTGAAATAATGTAAAATCTTTTTGTGGGAATGAATTAGATTTCAAAGGGCAGATATTAAAAGGGCCTAATGTGCAGCTCTTTCTGAATTGCTGTCCTCTTAAATAGAGAAAGTCACATTGTTTGCAAGAGATAAATGTGACATGAAAGAAGTGGTCCAGATATAATGTCAGAGGTTGTAAAGCTCATCCTTTTCTTCATCATTCACTTCAAGCACCTGTCTTGGCGTGTGCAACCACCTATATAAGAATCTTATGGAGGCAGTGCTTGTGAAAAGTTATCCAAGGGAGAGCATTAATGTGCCAGTAGGGACTCCATCTAGACTAGAGACCGGGTCCTCTGTCAACAGACCAAATCTAGGCTGACCAGTCTGCAGGGAGGGTTGGATAGATGGGGGTTTCATGTGTCCCTGGTTTAGAAGTGAGCCTGGTAGAGTTAGGTAATGGTTGGACTTGATGCTTTTAAAGGTCTTTTTCAGCCATAGTGATTCTATGATCTCTGCTCCTCGCTGGTGCCGAAGTGGCTATGGTACTAGCCAGGCTGGTTCATCCTCAAATTAAATTCTCGCAGCACTTATGTCCCTTCTATCTGATCCCGAGTGCTGCGAAGCACCCTTCATTCTGGCTTGAAGCTGACAGGAGCGGAGAGTGCTGAGGCAGCTCCCTAGACCTGAGTCCTTGGAGAAGGACGCTCAGCGCCGGTACGGGGTCGATTCCCTTATCCGTGCAGATTAAACGCTTGCTGCGCACTGTCCTTGCCCCTGAGCCGCACGGGGGCCTGTGCAAGCCAGGGAAGGCGCAGGTCCTGCCCTTCCTCAGGGGCTGTGTTGCTGTCTTTGCAGATGACAGAGGGCCGGCACTGCCAGGTGCACCTCCTCGATGACAGGAACTTGGAGCTGCTGGTTCAGGTAAAGACCCTGCGCTTTTGGGCACCAGTGTCGTGGTGCCGTATTTCTCTGCTTACTCTCTTTAGCAGCGTTACTGTTTGAAGAAAAGTTGTATCTCTTATTAGAGCAACTCATAGAAGTGGAGGAAATGGGCACGCGTTCAGGCACGTGCCCCTCCTCGGACCTGAATTAGCGGGAGGGTTTCCCCTGGACGTTGGCATACAGCGGGCGAAATACCCACCATCGGTTCTGCATTCAGCCTTTCTTTTTTGCCAAAACTTATAAGGAGTATTAAATACACCCCTCATGGTGGTGCCTTCTGTAATTTAGGAGGGAAGGAAAAAAGTGTATTTTGGGGGATGTGTCTTTTTCCCATAACAGAACCTGAAGCACAACATCTTCCAGTACACAATATCTTCTTAATTGAAAAATCCATCCTGCTGTAAGTGAAGGAAAGCTTTGAGCTTCCACATTTCTCTCCCAGAAAGAGGAAAGCAGTGATCAGTCCATGCACTTCAGCTTGATGTCATGGGTTAAGTACATCGCTGCCTCTCCGTGTTCCGCGTGTCTCACGGCTCCACAGAGACACCGCATCCGACTGCCCCGAGTCTGATGGAGCCACTTCTGTACTTGTTGTACAACAGGGTTTTAACGTGGCTGTATGGACTTAAATGTCAGCATTTGCAGAGAAAACTTTTATTACATATGAAAAGTCTGGACTGAAATGCATTAAACTGTTTTTATTCTTTCAATAGCCCAAACTCTTGTCTCGGGAGTTACTGGATCTGGTGGCCTCACACTTCAACCTGAAAGAAAAGGAGTATTTTGGGATAACGTTTATAGATGATACGTAAGTATGTTTGTTTATTTTGAACAGGTGTGTGATTATTGCAATGCAAAACCTTATCCCAGACACTGTGGCAGCTCAGCGTGATGGAAAAATGACTTTTTCTTTTGAAGAAAGTTTTTCTTACCTTGCTTGTGCTGCTTGGCTGAGGAAAGGGGAAGGCACAAAACAGAGAATATTTGGGAAAATATCTTCTGGGCACAAACCAGAGAATACTTGTAAAATACCTTTCTGATGCTTTCACTTCTCATGTTTGTCTCACAAGGTGGAAAAATTGATTCAGCAATAATTTCCCACGTGAACACCCTCAGCTTTCCTACTCTGCACTTTTAGTAACAACAAAAAGGTTTTGCATTTATTTTCAAAGTGAATTGCTCCTATTGCTTTGCACTTTAATCTCAAACGTATTATTGAGTCTTTTAAAGCCAAACTTCCCCCTAACAGCAGTGAAATATGAAGTGAGTTCTTCTCATAAACAGCTTTCCTCTAGCTTCCCTGTTGCTTTTGGATATCCATGCTATTCCGCCGAGCACCAGAAAGCTGCAAAAGCAGCAAATGCTCGAAATGCGCAACCCTCCCTTCCCGGCAGCTGGAGTATTGCAAGTGCGTGGTGGTGTTGGGTGCAGCATCTCGCTGTCGATGCCTGTCCCCTGCCCCCCTCCGCCAGCGGCTGCCACCGGGCTGGGTGAGATGACGGGGCCACGCTCCGGAGTGCCGTAGGAGATCCGCGTCTGTGACATTAACCCGGAGTCGGCTGGGTTAAATGACATCTCAGCTGGTGTTTAGACTCATCTGGCAGCGTTGCACAGAAATGCTTCCCCGCGTGAGCTGCGTGCAGGACCGGAACCCGCAGGCAGGACTCTGCTCCCCAGGGTCAGCATCTCCAGAAGAGTTACCTTCAGCTCCTCAAAAAAGCTCGAGCGGAGCTGCTTTGGGCAGTGGGGAAGTGGCGTTGTGCACCAATACAGCCCCTAAATAACCCTCTGTTTGTCTAATAGGAATAATATTAGTCCCTGCTGCTCCCCGTTGCCACTTTTTATGGTGTCCTGGATGGAAGCCTTCACCTATAAATCACATGGGAGCCGTGTTTGGGGCTGCAGCCGAGGCAGTTCCCATCTGCAGGTCCTGGAGAAAGGGCTGGTGGTTTCAGAGCTGGTGGGAGCTGCTCGCTTGCCTCTGGGGCCCTGACCACAGCACTGTGTCATTTTTACCAGCCACTCTCATCTCGAGCTCTCCCTAGAATATTTTTGCTACATCCTTGTCCTTTCAAGTGTTGGAAAAGACTTTCTTCCAGCTCTTCTTTAAATCCCTTGAGGATGCTGTTGGCACTTGGTTTGGGGTTTTTTTTTTTTTCCTCCCCAGAAGAGCTGCCATGAAAATTCTTCTGGAGGCTTTTGGTTGCTGGCACTCCCTCACCGTGAGCTTTAAAGTGCTGCCAGGAGATTACCTATAAGCTGTTGGTATCCCCAGAAACACCAGTGGGACTCCAGAGGCTGCCTTGGGTGTACATGGTTGGACTGGGTGCTTGGAGGGAGCCTTTGGCCTCTGGAGGGCACCCATGCCCCAGCCTTTTGGGGCAGCCACAAGGCTCCTGGCTCCCCCTTGGCCCCAGGGAACTCAGGGAGGTTGTTGGGGTTTGGAGGATTTTGGTTTTCTTTCTGGCTTCCTTCCCCTTGCAGTCAGAGAAGCTGCTGCAGAGAGAACTCTGCTTTTATACACCTGCCTCATTAAATGAGCGCGCCTGCGGTAAATCCCTCTGCCCTGAAATGGGGGTTTATGTCTCGCTGGGACTGGGGAATGGTGCAGAGCAGGAGGAGTCAGGGATGCGGCCGCAGAGCTGTGCGATCCCCATGCAGCAGAAGAGATCGGACCCGTTTCTGCTGCAGGCAAACATCCAGCCTCTGCTGCGGATCAGTTCCCCGCCGTGAGCCATGAGAAGCCAATGGAAGCATCCCCATCTATAGCTATTTCAAGAACGTTTAGTTTTCCTGGGTGCCATGCTATGATTTTTGTGCTGCAGCTGAAAATACAACAGCAAAGAGCCTTCTCTAATGTCCAACAGTGAGTTACATCAAAATCTCAAAACTTAGAGAGAAAAAAGGAAATAATTGGATGAGATGTTTGCCTGCCTCAGAGCTGAATCCCGCACTTCTTAAAGTAATGCTTGGTGTAAACACGAGCACTGAAGAGAGCCCATTTCTGTGTTTCCCGCCCCAGTTTTTAACCACCTCCCCACCCTGTTTCCGCAGAGGTCAGAGCGTCTGGCTGCAGCTGGATCACCGAGTCCTGGACCATGACTTGCCCAAGAAACCGGGCCCGGCAACTTTGTACTTTGCCGTTAGGTGAGTAATTGTTTCCACAAAGAAAACATTACCACTTGGGTTTATTTATCACCAGGGGTTTTTGTTTAAAAGGACTGATTACGGGTTTGATAAAGGAAATAAATGTCAAAGCGATATATTATTTTTAGAAGGAGATTAGGTTCTGGATAAGTGCTGCTCTCTTTTGTATTTAACTATGAAATAAAGTAGTTTGGAACCTGCTACTTTTTAAACTGTTACTAGGACGTTGTTCCTAGGGTTGTTTTTTTTTCTTTAAAACCCATATTTTAAGTATCTTTTGTTGCCTGACTTGTCTTTAATAGTGCTAAATTTTAATACAGTTTGTTTAAACAGTTGTCCTTGCTTTTTCTTCTTCTGTTTACTTAAGGGTTGTCTGTACTTGAAAGGGATTGCTGATGGCTTCTTTGCTCGCACAGCTTAAGCCAGTCCCCAGGAGAGAATAAAATCCCTGGCAAAGTGATGGTTTTGGCCAATGTAATTGCATTACTTTAGGGCTTTTGCTGGCAAAGCTCTGCTGGTTAAGGGCCTGAAAAAACCCATGTCCTACGAGAGGTTTCTGTGCTGGCAGAAAAGACCAAGCATCATATTCTTAATATTGTTGGAGTTTTTTTGTTTTCCTTGCAGTCTGTGAGGAAAATGAGAGCAGACTGACCTCATTCGCTTTTCATATCTCAGTAAATTTATGCCTTGTATGCTTAATTATTTGAAGCACTTCCAAGGCAGAGCCTCTGGTGTAGTTGGGTCGGTTGGCACCGTCACCTTGCCGTGTCCTCCTCACTCTGGTCATTGAGTGAATGGCTCAAACAAGTGGCACTTTGTTTTTGCTGAATATGTGCTTATCTGTGATGGAGTTCGGAGCTTCTCTTCCCTTCCCCACTTTTAAAAGAAAGGGAAAAAAAAAATTAATCCATTTTAAAAGGGATGATGGGCTCTTCAGTATATTCACTGTGTTTGACGATCTGGGAGGCTAAAATCTGTGACTGCCCAAGAAAGCTGTGAAGGCAATCATATAACTTGAGAGCTTCTTTGGTTGGGATTAATGCTGTTGGCTTGTGATGTTCATTTTGGCCCGCTCTGTTGCAAGATGGTCCTCTGCAGGACAGGGTGTTGAGAGACCTGAGTAAGAGTTCATCTGTGAGGAGTGGGCTTGGAAGGATCAACTTCTAGAAACTATTTTTAAGCCTGACTACTCCGGGTTTGTGAGATCCCAAACAAACGATTAGTAGCCAAGGAGGTGGGCAGGGAGTGAGAAGCAGAGCAGGAGAAGGAGAATACAGAAATAATTAGCAATATAGAAACTGTCTGATCCGTAGAAAATAGAGATTCCAGCAGAAAAGCTACTTCAAAACCTGCAGCTCTCTACTTTGTTACAACTCTTTGGGTAAGTAAGCAACTCGAGGCCTTTGCTCCATTGCCTGTACCTTGGGTGGTTAGTTCAGACACTTATCTCGTGTGAACACATTTGCCTTGTCATAGCCTATTCCTTAATTAAACTCCCATGAGAGCAGCCGAAATATACAGTTGTAGCTGTGTGTGCCCGTGGCTTGAACAGGAAAGTGTGGTCAGGCGTGGGGCAAGTGGCGTGGAGGGGCTGGGCACTGAGCTGCTCTTCTCCTAAGTGGCAAATGTGCAACAGCATCAGTCCTCAGTCTCTTTCAGCACTGCACTGGACAGTTTCCAGTAGCAATAGGGAAATGGGGGGCATCCCCAGGTACTTTCCCTTTGTTCATGACTGCCCAGCCCTGAGCTTTTGTCATTCAGTACTGGAACGCATGGTAAATCCTTTCAGGTTTGAACTGTTTTTCTTCAGCTGGCATAAATTCAATCCAGTCGGGTAAGTTTACATATGGTATGTGTAACTGGTTTAAGACTTACAGACTTAGGATGTGCAGATTTAGGACTTATAAAAGTGTCGTTCTAGTTTCAAGGATGCTGACAGCATTGGAAATAAAAGCAGAACATATACTTTATGGTGTTCCCAAACATGCCTTCCATCCCCTGAGCATCCTTATCTCTGTGGTCCAGTGTTCCCCATGTGTACTGTGGTGATAAGAGCGTACAGCTTGTACCATGGAAGAAACAGAGCACACAGACCTGGCTGGGGCAGGGGCAACACCTCCCCAGTGCCCTCTCCCTAAATCCATACTCTGTACCAGCAGTGACTGGGAGCTGCCTCTCTGCAGAGCCAGGGGTACTGTGCTGCTTGTGAGGACATCAGCCACATCTGACTCTTAGTTGAAAGAAACTGCAAGTGCAAATGAGGCCGTTAGTTGAGGAAAATCACCTTTTTGGTGTAGCGGAGGGAGGAAGGCTTTAGCAGGCTGAGGAAGGTCCATGCCTGCCTGGCAGCAGATTGGAAGAGGACCAAGAGTGGGGCTCCTGCCCTCTGATGCTCTGTGTTTCTGGAGAGGAACACTCCAAGTGTACTTAAAGTGAAATTTAGCAAAGCTGCTGGAGAAAAATTATATCAGGTATCATCAAGAGAGGGTGGAAGTACCTGTGGTTCCTACAGTTCTCGGTGAAAGGTGAGTCATAGAAATGTAAAATAGCCTTTCAAATGTCTGGGGCAGGCTGCTGGGCTTGGGTCTGCCCCTTGGACAGGCTGCATGCCTGTAACACGGGTAAATCATCTCCTTATCCTGCAGAGGCGTTCTGGGGTGTGCTTTAAAATTAATTTGATGGAACATGCGGTAGGAATGTGAAATATTAAAATAATTACTGTTTAATATATTGCATGTCTCAAGTCACGGCATAAATAATGCATACATTCCTAATGCGCGCAGCAGGTGCTGGTGTTACTGCTTCCTACCATGCACTCTGTGATGCTGCTGTGGACTTCTTCCAATGTCTTGCAAATCATCTTCACCAAGAGATCAGTGGCTGGAGCTTGAGGCTGTGAGGAGCCTTAGGAGCGCTGTGGGAGGGATTGGCCTGGTTCTGATAAACATCGTGGGTTGTGTGTCCTTTGTTGACCATCCAACCCTCCTGCTATCAAAGGCAAGACATTGAGAAGCCCTGGTGTGGTCCGCACTGCTGGGGCGGTGGTGGTGGTGGCCCAAGTCTTTGCTTGGCTGCAAAAAAAAGTGTACCTGCTGCCTAGCATCGGTTGGGAGAGTCTGGACCCAACACATTCATCCTCCGTAAGGAGCTGAAGGAGAGGTATCCTGCTCTCAGATCCAGCTAGAGGAGGATTGACAGGACCACATTCACACAAATTTGTCCTATTAAACTGACTTGGCAGTTCCACACTCATCAAATTATAGATGGGTTTTCTCCACACCATTTAATGCATCTCAGCGCTGTTTGGTTTGATGCCCCAAGTGAGTCAGAGAAGGACGCAGACGGGTTGTGTGCAATTTTGCAGAGTGCCAGTGGCATGTGTGATGTTTGGGGTAGCTCTATAGCAAACTGGGACCCATTTGCTAACCTTGGCTGGGCCAAAGTAACTAGTAATGGGATTGTTTTTGTTGGTAGTGCCTCTGTGATGCACTTGGGGAAGAGGAAGATAGGGATGGGGAAGAATGCAGCGAGCGCTGTGTAGAGTGGTGCCTGCAAAGCTGAGCCAGTTTGCAGCCTTTCCGTGGTTTTAGGGGTCCCATCATGATTAGGATGGTCGTTAGCACTAGGCCAGCTTCCCAACCTGCAACACGCTGTTTGGAGTTACTTATTCCACTTCTGTGTTTTTGTCTGTATAGGAGAGATGGGCTTTGCTGCTTTAACATTCAACAGGGGTTTTCAAATGAGATGAAAAGTCATCAGATATCTACAATCTAGTGAACAAGGAATTTGTTGTTCCCTGTCTGCTATCAGCCTGTGATTTTTCTGTTTTTTCCCTCCTAATAGGCAGGAAATTAAGTGCAGTAGCTCATAGTTCCTCTGTGCTATTTTATCACTAGAGAACGAAACATTGAGGAAATAAAATTATTTGGAAGGTAGATGAAAACTATTCAAGCAAGTAACTGTTTTGGGGTTTTGTTTTGTTTTTTTTTTTAATTTTCAGGTTCTACATTGAGAGCATTTCCTTTCTCAAGGACAAAACTACAGTCGAGTTGTTCTTTCTGAATGCGAAGTCCTGTGTGCACCAGGTAAGCCCCAGCGTTCCTTTGGAGCTCTTTGTGCCTCTCCCATTTATTGCTCCTCTGCTATCTTACATGGTCCTGCAAACTCAGTAGGAGCTGTGTCTAATTTCTAGATCTTATTGAAGTTTTAAAAATCTCAGCGCGCTTTCTCTCCTCCTTCACTTAAATACTGATGCTCCAAGCAAATGGATAAGGATGATGATGGTTTCCTTGTCCTGGTTTTGCAGCCCTGCTGTGTGCTCACTGCACTAGAATAAGTCTTAAATACTCAAAAGCTTTTAAGTTGTCTGAAATCTGGGTTGTAACTTCACAGGTAGGCTCTGAGTGGCATATCCTTCTATACACTGCATAGTAAATGCTCAAGGCAAGCACCTCTTTACTGATCTCAGGATGAACTTGTCTCAAGAGCAAAAGCCCTGTGACGAAGGTCCTTTGCCATGAACTTGATTCCTCATTCCCCGATTTCCTGCCTTAATTCAGTGTAGTAGTAAAGTAATAAACCCTATAAAGTAGCAATCAAAACTAGTTATTAAAATACTTTTTATATTTAGTCTCTGGTTAAGAAGCTTCCGCTGTTTTCTTGACATGTTTGAATTGGTAGAACATATTTTTCATAGAATCATAGACTGGTTTAGGTTGGAAAGGACCTTGAAGATCATTGAATTCCAACCCCCCTGCCATAGGCAGGGACACCTCCCACTAGACCAGGTTGCCCAAGGCCACGTCCAGCCTGGCCTTGAACACCCTCAGGGATGGGGCCTCAACAACCTCTCTGGGCAACCTGTGCCAGTGCCTCACCACCCTTAAAGTGAAAAACTTCTTCCTAATGTTTAATCTAAACCTGCCCTCTTCCAGTTCATAGCCATTCCCCCTCATCCTATTGCCACTTAGTGATATGGTAGCTAAAATCTTAAATAAGGTTGATCTGCTGCAAGTTCATCTTGCTCTGAAAAAAGGGTGGTGTGGCTGCCACCTTTGGTGTGCGCCTAATAACCAGTGGTGCAATAGCAGCTGCAGTTCAATGAACTTTACTTTAGCAATGCCTGATGTTTCTGGGATTTTCCAGTTAATGTCAAACTTGGGCATCTGGCGCTTTTTTTTTTTACTTGTAGTTCAATCAGTATAAAAGGGTCGCTCGGTTCTTAGAACCTTCTCTTGGAAAACAATCCTGTGTCATTAGCTGGTGGAGGAGCTCAGTGTAACCGGCCAAAGTTTTCACCTTTAATATGCTTCATATTTGAGGATTCTTATTCAGTATTCAGTATTTGTGATTTTATGGTGGGATCAGAAACCGGATGTGAAAGTGGCTAATAGCAAAGTTGAGACTGTGCTTTGTACAAGAATTGCTTTCTGGAAGAGTGGAGGAAATTGGGGCCTCTTCTACAGAATGCTGAAGTTGTAAAGATGTTTGAAGAACATGGGACCTCACTAGTTAAGATTAATAAAAAGCAAATCTCCATTTGGTGTATCTGCCATTTGAAATGAAGGGTCTTGGCAACTTTTTGTCATCTGTTCGGGGAAAACCAGAGCACTTTAAACAGAAACAAATAATTTTGGAATTGGAAGATAGGTCTGGTTTTAGGATGGAATGTGAAAAATGCCACTGCTATCAAAACAAACGCTGTCAACTTCAAAACGTTTGGTGTGAGTATATGTGTTTATGTATGTGCATAAAGCATAAGACAAAGGAAAGGAAGAGAAGCATAAAAAAAGCTTTCCTCACTGATCATAGACACGTGTGTCATCAAACCAGTAAGAAGTCACTTCTGGCCTGGATAAATATTATTCAAGCAACATAACTTCATATTACTGAAATGAAGTGCTGATAGCAGGAGAAGCGCTGATGATGCAGGGAGTGCTGCAATAAGCAGACTGCGCATCATCCAGTGGCGTTCAGGGCTTCGGGAGCCGGGAGAGGTTTGAATGAAGGCTGGGTGACATTTTCCCCTCCATGGCTTGCAAGGTGTGTGCTCTAATTGGTAACAACCCGAAGTGCTGCCTTCCCTGTTCCTGTGAGCAAAACTGCCAGAAGCACAGAGGGTTTTCTGTCACGTCCAGTTTCTGTGGTCAGCGGCGGGACGGGAGCATCGCTTCCTCCCAAGAGCAGGATCTCCGTGGGCAGTGCCAAGCAATTCCAGATGTAAGGAAAGCCAAGAGCTCCCGCTCTGCCTGCGGCGCTTTCTGCTGAGCGGCTTCACAGCCCGGCTTCAGCAGAAGCCCGCAACTACTTCAGCAGAAGCCAGTTTGCTTACTTTCAAGATGTATTTGGTCCAGTGGCTTTTAACCTTCAAATTAAGTCTTTTAAAAATATTTTATCCTACTTGGTAAACTTACGGTCAGGCTCTAGGTTTCAAGTAGTGCACAAAGTGCACGCAGGACCAATTCTCATATTTAAGCCCACGGGACGCGGACAAGAGGATGCGTAAAGGCACGTTGGCTGCGCTCACGCAGGGCATCTGTCCCGCTGTGCTGTGGGGAAGGAGGCGCAGGCTGAGCGGGGTCGGCTTCTGAACGTGAGCAGATCCCCAGCTCCGGCGAAGCAAGCGGCTGATGCTCACTGATGACAGCGAGGAATGTTCCCTGGCATTTCTCAGTCCTTAGTCCAGCTCCAGGGGGTTAGACCTGCCTCAGCTTAGGGTGGGTTTTTTGTTGTGTTTTTTTTTTTTTTTCTCCTCTCCTTTCCTCGCTGCATTCCTGGAGTGAGGAAGCCCCAGTGTCTCAAAAAGCAGCAACCTACACCCAGCCCGTGTGCTCAATGCACTGGCTGTGCTGGAGGATGCCCTACTGCGGGGCCGTATCCGAACCTGGATCTTTGCATGAAGCTTCTGCTCTGTGTGGGTCAGGAATGCGGTTGAGAGGATAAACGCTGCAATACCTGGGGTGTGAGAAGACCTGCCTGGATAAGATTGCTTAAAAGCCAGTCATGCTTTTTGCTTTCACAAAGCTGTTTCCAAACAGCAGCTTGTTCCCCATAGGGGACATCGTGTGTGAAAAGCCCAAATGCAGGGTGGTGCAGAGGCCTGATGCTCGAGGGAGTTTGTGTTTGTGCTCTTCTGACTTTCCCGAGTGCTGGCGTGTGTTGACAGCACAGCTGTTGTAGGTACCTGTGCTTCCACGGCTTGTGTGCCATGGAAAATGATGCTTTCCTGAGCAGTGGGTGAGCGGGTGATGTCGCCCTGCATGCGAGACAGTGCACGTTGGTGCTCCTGTCAGTGTGTAGGACACACCACGAGAGCCAACTGAAGGCTTGGGCAAATACAGCCAGCGTGTTGGCGAAGCTTCATGCCAGTCTCCCCTCTGGAGGGGATTTATCTGTGGCTTACTAGGTTCAGAGGCTGCATCATAAACGTATTTACGGTATTCTTTGAGAGATCTGTGGGCAATCCTGTGTGTGAAATCCTGGAAGTGGCTGTATCTAATCAAAGAGAATGGTATCTCCCTCGTGAAGTCCAGCATCTCTGGGCTTAGGGTGGATCTGCTGGGCAGAGTGTGTTGGCCGTCTTGCCCTGGATTGCTCCAGAGGGGTTTTGCTGCCAGCTGAATAAAAATTAAGAAGAAATAATATAGCATATTAAATATAAAAATTATTATATAATATATTACAAAATATGGCTTCTGAAGAATAAATAATGGAATAAAAACCTGCATGAAAGTTCTGAAAAGAGCAAAGGCTGCTTTGTGCTCTGTAGTGCACAGCCACGCTGCTCTTCCTCACCTTCCTCACCACATTCCTTCCTGCCAATCTCTGCGCCCCTTTCTGCAAATCGGGTACCACTTTCTGCTGTCAAGGGCTGGAGGAATCTGAGGCTTGTGCGTTTTGCAATTTCTGTAGACATTTTGGCAAGGGAGGGGCAGATAGACAATAAAATCTCTGCTGCCAAGAATGTATTTCTTTCTACTCCCCACCCACTCCCCATCTCCGTGCTCTTCCATACGGTCAAAGCTCCTTTGTGCCTCTGGGACCTTTGCTGCCACGCGCCAGGTTCGTGCATCCTTTAGGACCTCTGTTGTTCTCAGCGCTGTCCCCATCTCTGCCGGGCCCTCATCCCCTGTGGGGAGCTGGGGGAGTCCCCTTTGCCCAAAGCACAAGAGGGCTGAGAACTTTTTCTTTACTTTTGCAAATCATATTTAAGCAGTGTCACAGTTCTGCACCCGGAGCAAAGAGTCACTGTGCACTGAGCACGAGGTGCCCATAGCTGCTCCTTTCCACCGCACCCCATCTTAACCCCCCAGCGCACCAGCACCAGCATCTTCTCTCTGCAGTGTGTAATGCAGCGCTGCTTTACACACCTGGAGAATAAACTTCCCTCTGTTGGAGCAGCCAACAGGACCCATTCAGCGTTTGCTGGCCTTGCCCTCCCCGTGCCTCCTTGCACGTGAACTAAATGCAACGTTTACTGCTAGGCTCGTAAGAGCGCCTGGTGTTTCCTCGCTGCTGGTGTGTGCACAAACCTTGGCCTCCAGCTGATATAACGAATGCTTCCAGTGCTCTCACCCTACCCTCCTTTCGTGTTGAGCTGCCCATTTACTCCCCTCCTTGTCTGATGCTGCAGTCCCCATCCTGTCTGGGTCCTGTGTGGTCCAGCCAGCTGCCTGGCTCCTGCTCTCCAGCATCCGTGCTCTTTGGGCTGGAGCTTGGAGAAGCCGTACCCACTGCCAGGAATACCTTGGGCCACTGAGCAGGAGGTGGGAGCTGGTAAAACTTAGATCTCCAGGTCTATGGAAGGGCCTCACAGTGACTTAGTTGTAAGCTTTTTTTTATATACATGTATTTTGGGAGAATGCAATTGCTGGAAGGATGCTTTGTGTATGTCTGGGTTCTATTTTCTTACGTGCCTCTCTTTCAAGGCTTTGAGAACTGCTGCCTGAAAACCTTCAGTGGTGATAACTTCAATTTAAAAGCTTGCTTTCCTGTCCCTGAATGTGGGAAGCTGGGTTTAGATTTATAGCGGTTTCTAAAATCTATTATGCAGCTGGAATTTAAAATAGTGGAAACCTAGCACTTA